AAATTAAATTTTTTATTTCCATGCACTTAAAAATTTCTCAAATGATGCTATGATCACTAAGAATTTGAAAAAAAGTAATAGATATAGAATACATGTCAGCTTTAAAGCAAGAAAATGTATATGCATCATTTAACTTTTCTCAAGTGGTGTTATATATAAACCATGTTTGTAAATTAATTTAATCATTGGTTGTGAAAAATAATTTGTTTTAGCATGTGATAGAGGTGCATTTTATTTAAAACAATTTTAGAGATTTGTTTAAAAGTGATTATTTACATTGCAATCTATTTTATACTACAATTTTTACTTTTTACTATGTTTATTATTTTTCTTTATGAAATATGCAACATTTTCTAACATTAAATATAATGAATAATGATGTTAAAAATATTTATTTTTAAGTTATTGATAATGAAATAACTATTTGTGAAAACTTAACTCTTCATTCAAAAATTAGGAAGTGGAAGATGGGCCTTGAAGAATATTCAGAGGGGATATTTCCTGGGTTCTAGCCAAGATGAACTTAAATGTATGGCCAAAGCTCCAAGTGAAGCAGAATATTGGCTTGTACATCTTGCTGCCAGACCTCAAGTAAGTAACATTTTATATGTATTAACCCTTGCCCATCAGAGCCAGGTCATCTTGAGCTGACTGTTGTAACAGTCAGTTGTCTTGGTTGAGGTTCTTGTTTTTGAAGCTGCATCTACACTGTATAACATAGCACATTATATAGCAAAGTTATAAAACTTTTTAGAAAAAGAGAAAGTAAAATGTTATATAACATTACATTTTTCTTGTTATATAGCAAATTATATGTTACCTACCAAGTGTCTGTAAAGATCAAAGAAAATTATAAAACATTGTTATATGACATGTTGTCAATTAGCCCAAACTAGTGTGGTGCGGTTATAAAACATTTGCAATCTACCGTTTGTCGTCAGTATTAATAATAAGATGTAAAAAGTTATACAGACTTGTTACTACAATACCAAAAGGTATAATCTTATAAGAAGTTATAAAAACATGTGCAACAAGTTTATGAAACAATTTGTTTTATAATACTATTTTGTTATATAGTGTAGACACAATTTTACATTTTAACATAAACAATGATTTATCTACTTCAGTGTAATATGAATAGTGCACGCTTTGAAAGAATACATTTCATAGGCAGTATTATGCATAGTAGTCTACGAGTAAAATTAGATTACGATGTTACATTTGCGTTAGCAATGATAACAAATACGCTACGCGATGTCAAATTAGTCAAAAAAATATTTGTAAAGTTTTCACTCT